GTAATATTCAAGCCTTTTTCAACTATAGACTTGGAGGCCTTTTTCTTCCAGTTTGTATCTGAAAGTAACTTCTATACATGATCTACACATCTTTGTGAAGAGTTTGTTTTGAAATTAATGGTTTCTTTTTCTGGATGTTTCTCACATTTTTTGTATAGAGATTGAAAAATATCAAGCCAAAACCCCAAAAATTATACTCTTCTGAAAATATACCCATTTCAATGAAAACTGGAATTTTCACAGGTAAAAAAATGTTAAAAAATTCCTGGTTCTGGCGCAACCCTATCCCATCGTGTTCTCAATGAAATAACCTAAATTTGTGGTATTCTTATTACCACTATTAGGTGCTTTGAATAACCTTCATTCATTTATACAATTATATTTCAAGTGTAAACTGTATCGAGGTAATTGTATTATCAATATTATTTTGTTTCTCGTTTCTCAACCTCTCTTTTTACCTGGCAATCCTTCATTATCGATGGAAATGAGTAGTTGATCCTACTTTGGCGTTCTATAGTTCGCACATATTTCGACTTCTGAAAATTGTTGTTCGTACAAAGGCGACAGCTGGTTTAACGGAAAAACAGATTTACATCTCTTATCCTTCATTGATACTATATCTTTTGATCTGTTGAAAGTTTAAAAAAAAATAGGCAGAGATATCTAGAGGCAAGTCAGAAACTGCTCATTAACACAAAGGAAAAGAGTATGAAATCTTAATGAAACTGAAATTTCTAATATATCTTAAAAAATTATACTGCAATGTTCATTTAATATCAGATAACATTCTGAAAGGAGTAAATCCTCACCTGTAATTTCGTGAAGCGACTAAGAACTTTTGGATCGAAAGAAACCTCATGATTTCTTGCAAAGTTACTTCTCTGAGTAGCCAGCATTAGACATTTCAAAGAAGGATTCAGTTTGTGGCATATTTCCTCCATACTCATGGGAATGTCTTCTAAATTACCTAATGTTAATTCCTCTAGTTTAGGAATGATATTTTCCAGCAATCTTCTAACTGTACCCTCATCTCGCTTCCACTTACATCTACAAAAAAAATATCATTCAGTCAATGTTTTCAGTTCTAGTTTCATAAAATTATATATATATATATATATATATATATATATATATATATATATATATATATATATATATATATATATATATATATATATATATATATATATATATATATATATATATATATATATATATATATATATATATATATATATATATATATATATATATATATATATATATATATATATATATATATATATATATATATATATATATATATATATATATATATATATATATATATATATATATATATATATATATATATATATATATATATATATATATATATATATATATATATATATATATATATATATATATATATATATATATATATATATATATATATATATATATATATATATATATATATATATATATATATATATATATATATATATATATATATATATATATATATATATATA